ATGTCTTGCTTAGCCAAGCCATCAAGTTATGTTTTATACAGATGTAGGAAAATGTGGGATTATTAGAGGATAGGTTCTTGGTCCCTGTCTTTACCTCTCCTCTTCATCCACACATTCTGTAAAACTTCATAGTCAGAATCACCCTGTATATATGTCACCCTTTCTCACAACCTACCCCTAAAACAAAAAGCTGAATAATACTATAATTTGGAAATTGATAAGTAAATAATTTTGTGTACAAATGAGGTATCATCTCAACTTTACTTTGTATTCTAATTACTTTTATGGTTTAGTTCAATTGGATGATCAGACCCTTGGTCAGACATCCTCTGGCTTATCTTCTACAAATTCAAGTTAATAGGCATACCCTAACTATCAACCATAGGACGATATTCTGTTACATCTCTCTTGGCCTCTAATTACTTACAGTTCTGAATTCAGTTTTTTAAAGGATGATATTTAAGGGTCAAAAACTAAATGCTATATATGAATATTATTTTTTAAAGTGCTCTCAAAAACAAAATCAATCTTAAAAATTAAAATCAATAAAATAAAATTTCATTAATTAAATGTATTTTACCCAAAACATACAAAAACATGAATTCAAAGGGGCATATGCACCCCCATGTTTACTGCACTACTTACAATACCCAAATTATGGAAGCAGCCCAAGTGTCCATGGACAGATGAATGAATAAAGAAGATGTGATGATGATACACACACACACACACATACACACACGCACACACAGGAATATCATTTGGCCATTGAAAAGAATGAAATCTTACCATTTGTAAAACACGGATAAAATTAGAGAGTATAATGCTAAGTGGAGTAAGTCAGAGAAAGACAAATACCATAGATAGCACTCATACATGGAATTTAAAAAACAATACAAATGAGCAAAGGGCAAAAAAAAAAAAAAAAAAAAAAGAAAGAGAGAGGCAGAGACAAACAGAAGAAAATAGTTTTAACTGTGGAGCATAAACTGATGGTTACCAGAGGGCAGATGGGTGGAAGGATGGGTGAAACAGGTGATGGGGATTATCATGATGAACAGTGAGTAATGTATAGAAGTGCTGAATCGCTATATTGTACACTTGAAACTAACATAACACTGAATGTCAACTATACTGAAATTAAACAACTTAATAAACAAGGTAAATAAATCAATGAAATAAAATTTTTATTAATTACATTAATTGCACCTAAACTCAAAAATTAATAAGTAAAATAAACAGTATAACATGAATCAAATTATACAGGGTGTTTTCATCATGCATATCATATTATAGTCATGTCTTATTATATGTAGATAGGTAGATAGATGTATAGAAGATAAATATAGTGACTCATAAAAAGAATTTAAAATATACCAACACAGAATGTTTACAATGTTAAAATAATTTTACATCAGTTTAGGGAATAAAGGAAAAACTGAAGTTATTGATGGACTTCATATAAATATTTCTTCTCAGGGTATATTATATTATGAATCCTATTGATAAATTTAAGAAAAATATTGCAGAAAATAGCTAATATGTGTTTTAATTCTGAGTAGAATTCACTAACTCCTTGCATAGTATGTCTCCCAAAGAAAATCCATGTCCTAAATCCTGGAACATGTGACTATATATATTACCTCACAAGGCAAGAAGGAATGAAAGTAGTAGATGAAATAAAGTTTGCTAATTAGTTGACCTTAAAATAGAAAATTATTTGGGCTTATCCAGAGAAGTCTGATCTAACAATGGGATTGTTATAATTGGAAAAAAGACACAGAAGAGAAAGTCACAGATGGTAACCTTAGAAGAACTTATCCTAAAGTTTATGGCTTTGTAGATCAGGGTTTGTCTACTTTTCTCATGATGAGAATAGGTAATGTTTCTGGAAGGAAAACTGCAGAGATCAAGTATTATTTTGATTACATCATACCAAGGATAGATACTATCAATATGACTTAATTTTTACTTTAATCATGATAGCTGATGCAGTGTTTGTCAGGTTTCCCCGCTGTAAAATTAGTTTTTCTCCTTCATTTCCATACTGGTCCCTTTGGAAGGAAGTCACCATATGCAGCCCTCAACTGAGGGGCTGGAAGTTAGTCCACCTCCTTAAAAATGAAGTATCTACATAAATTATTTGGAATACGACATGGGATATTTTTTGTTTGCCATTTTCTTACTTTTATCAGTATGAACTTAAGCAAATTGTCTTATACTTTTGAGTTTTAATACAATACTGTTTTAACTTGTTGCTCAAATTGTTGTAGTTTGGGAGCTCTTTCTTCTTTGACATGCCTCCATCAGTGTGTGTCTTGTTTTGCTTTAAGCACTTCCTTATTTCCTTTCTGGCTCTGCAAGATATTATAAACTCAATGTGTATATTCTCTGACCCAGTCCTAAAACCAGCCATCTCTCCAAGAAGCCACGATCCTTTTATTGGAGAATACTATTAAAAATCAAGATGTAGATATCGTTTGTACTTCTTACTCCTGAAGTGTCATTGAGTATTGACTCTGTCAAGTGATAAAGAAATGTATTTGTGTAAACCAAACTGTGTATGAAAACATATCTATATATGTTTGTAGATATATATAAAACTTCAATTTAGACTGATGTCTCTAACTGTAATCCAGTACCACATGGGTCATTCTAGCCCTCCTACATTGTTTATTTGTAACCTCACTCTAAGAATGAAAAACCTATATCTTATTCATCATTTATTTCCTTAATACACAATTCCAGTATAAATGTATAGTGGCTTCATATTTATTAACCTACATCCTACTGGGCAATACTCTTATCAATTAAAGTACCAATTGCCTTCAGTCTCACAGTCTAAACTCACTTCTCACATTGCTTAGGTGAGCAACTTTTTCCCTATCTCCCCTCAATGAGATTATTTCCTATACTTGTCATAAAGTTTGAAGATTGCCATGGGATGTCTGAGGTCAGTTGAAATCATATCACTTGTGTGTTGTTGTTTTTTTTTCACAGACACCCCAACACATAGTTCTCATCTTTTTTGATAAATATCTTGACCATGACATGTCTTACTGGTCATTTATCTATCAATTTTACCTGATATTCTTCTAAAATTCAGATCTCTTTCCTTCAGTATTTCAGAGAATTTTAAATTTATTATTACTGTATAACAAATGCTTCACACCTTATTTGCCATAAAGTGTCTATTAAACTTCAGTTACTAATTTCAAGTCAATACTGAAATATTTACCATTTTTCACTTAAAAACATTATCTGTTTTAATGGCTATTGTTTTATTAATTTCACACCTCTGACTATTGTCCTTCTTTTCATGATTAAATTCCAATTTTCATGACTGTTCTTATATATTTATGTTGTTTTTTAGCTGCTCTCTGTACCTAAGTATTAACATTTTGGCATAATTACCTACAGGAAATGTCTGTCCTTTTCATTCAGCAATGACTTAGTGATAATTTGGGCAATATTGGCTCCTGGATCCTTTGCATATCTTCAATAGAATGAGTCATATTTAGAAGGCTCACAGCTCCGTACTTCTACTAGATAAAACTGAAAGCTTGCAAGCTCTGGGGGTGAGGTCAATGCCCTGATGTTTCACCTCCCTAGGCATCCATTGTCCATCTGGCCTAATAACATATGTGACTCACTGTTCTACCACAGAATGACTCCTCTTATTTAGTCCTCTAAAAACATTATGCTATAGTTAATATCACAGATACATAATTAAGAGTGATTGGGATAATTAATGTTCTAAGCCGTAAGTAGCTCACCTGGAATGACTTTTGTGGAGGTCTTACCTCAGCACAGTATCTGAGAATCCTGCTTTAAATGATCATCTCTTAGAAACTATCATTTTTCATGGGGGCACCAGGGTGGCTCAGTGGGTTAAGCATCTGACTCTTGATTTTGACTAAGATGATGATCTCATGGTTCATGAGGCATCATGGCTCTGCACTGACAGTGGGGAGCCTGCTTGGGATTCTCTCTCCCCTCTCTCTCTGCCCCTCCCCTCTCTTGCTCACTCTCTCTCTCTCTCTCTCTCAAAATAAATATGCTTAAAAAAAAAGAAAAAAGAAAACTACCATTTTTCAGAACATTTCAGGGCATATTTTCCTGTTTGCACACTATCTCCTATGCTAGTAAGCTTAAATTACTTGGTTAAGGAACATTTTGACAACTTACCATAAAATTAGTACCATCAATCACTCATAATTAATGTTCATATATATTATATATATTAGGCTGTAGTAAATATTCAAACATCTTTTAGACAATTAGGCATTAGTCTCTGTTTAAGAAAACCAGAATAAATCCTTTGTGTTGTGATCTATTTTGCTTAACATAAAGTAAAGGATATGGACAGTTCAGGAAAAGAAAAATTATGTTGAATAAAATATGAAAGAAGGAAGAAAGAAAGCATTTTAAAAAGACAGGAAGACTAACTTGACTGGAGCAAAGAACCCATATAAGAAAAAATGACTTAGAAAAGTTTTATTTCTCTTTAAGAAATATGAACATCTTTTTTATAGGCAAAAATGTCAGTACTATTTTGGTTTCTGTGGGACAGAACTAACTCTGACTGCTATGGATCCTTTGTCTAATTTCAACACCGCCCTCTTCAATAATCGCAGAACCTGCATATTACAGCTTTACTTTTTACAAAGTGTTTTCAGTTTCTTAATCTGATTTGATGCTTAAAACGCTATTAGAAAGTAGGAATAGAAGAAAACGTCATTTCTCATTTGTAGATGAAGGATATAAGATGTAGAGACTGGCTTCTGATATTTGAAACCTCAAAAAATGACCCTTTCTACCAGGCTGGCCAACCCTCTCAATGGGATTCTTATGTAACGGCTCCTCTTCTTTCGCTACTTTCCAAAACTGGAAAAAATTCACCTCTCCTAAAAAAGTACATCCTCATGCAGAACACTGGTCCATAATTACTGAGCATTCAGACATCTGCACTGAGTATATTTTATAACTATCTATCATACCTTCCTGACTCCTCTCCGCTGCTTGCTGGAATTCCACAATTTCTTTCTCATTACTTCAGTTTAGGGCAGGGGCTGTAATAAAAGAGTAATACAACTGGTAGAGTTAACCTATTAAACACTGCCAGTCACTTAAACATTTTCCTGACCCTATCTTGAGAACAGATGTAGATAAAAGGGTAAAGAAGAGAGTACGAATGTCCTAATGTAGTCTGAGTCATTCATGACCACTCTGCCCTCTCTCCTGTTAGAGGAAAGTCAGGGTGATGTTAATGTATGCTTGCTTAGAAATGCCAGCCTGCTCCCTCCTCTCCACAGTCTGTTCCAGCTGTAGCCCAATTAAATTCAACAGTTCACAGGTGTTCAGAGAAATGCTTTCAACATAAAACCTCAGTTGTTTTTAGGGCTCTTCACTCCCTTTAGTGCTCTTTAAATTTGAAATATTCTTCCAACAAAACAAACCACATTTACAAATGAAGAAAAAAATATAAGGAATGATGATAAGGATGCTAATAACTATAAAAATATTGTCAATAACCAAAAGGAAGGATTCTTACTGTGTCAGCCGGAATCCTAACACATTTAGCCTAAATCTGAAGAAAATAATATTTTCTTGATTGAAATGGATAAAGGGTGAGAGTGGAAGACCATCATGCTATATGTATGATGAAGGTAAAACATATAGATAAGAACTTACATTCCATCTTTTCCGGGATATTTAAATCATTCGCACATCCACTCCCTCCTTCTTCTTGCATTTACTCCCTTAGATTATTCATCACACACACAGACCCAGCAATATCTAGCAAGTGAATGCCAAGAATACCTCCATACAGGTAATCCGAGCCTCAATCCAGAGAAAGAAAAAGTTGACAGCTAATAATTATCTCTCCATTCACCATTACAAATACATTAACTCATTCCTAAGGACTTTGGAATTATTTCACAGATAACTAAGGTCTGAAACAATAGGACACAAAATATGTGTAATTGACGCTACACAAATCTGATCCGTAAGTACACATCCACATGAAGCAGTCATTAATAAGGTCTGAATTTGGAGGTTCAATGATGTACAAGAACGTAAGACATACAAATTTTGCAGGGTAAGCCAGAAAAAAACCCATTCATTTAGCAAATATTTATTGAGAGCATGGTAATGAACCAAACAGACTAAAGACAGTGTCCTAGGGAATCTTACTGCAGGGAATAAACATTAAACATACAAAGTAACTAAATTATCCAATTTAAAAGGCAATATGAGACCAGGAAAAAAGAGAAAAGGTCAAACAAGGAAAAGGGAATCTGGAGTTCAAAACGAGAGGGTAGGAAATATGGGAGGCTAATAGGAAACAACTTCACCTACTTCATTCATTTAGAGATACTTTTATTTGTTGGGTGAATCCTGTATTGATTATAGACTACTTGTATTTACTGAAATTGGAAACTTGGAAAGAATAAGATTTGTTTGGTGATGATGATGTTAATAACTAAACTTTCTTGAGCCCTTATTATGTGACAAACACTGCTAAATTACTTTATGTGAGTGATTTCACACAATAGTCACAAAAACCCTGTGAGATACCTAATGCTACTCCATCAACTCTAAAGATTAAGAAAATATGGTTAAGAGAGGCAAAATAATTCACCCAACTCCAATAATTCACTCAGCTCAATTATCAGAGCTGAGCTTTAATCTGTGTTTTGAATCCCAAGCTCATGCTATTAATCATTTCTGTAGATCCCACATCTTACTTGTTGGAATATATTCTGAACTCATGTTTATTCATTTTTCTAATTATACTTTTAAAAATTAGAAAAACTTTCTGGATCATTCATGGATTTTCCTAATGACCCTTTTTCTCCCCCAAATAATAGATGCAATAGTCTGGAAAATTTTAGAAAAATTGAAAGAAAAAATATTTGAGACCCTGGAGATGTGAAATCATTTTGCATATTTTCTTTTATGATTAGTTTTTTCACTGAAAAATGTATCATGAACATTTCCTCATATAATTAAATACTTTTCAGGACATATTTAATGAGTACAGAGCAATTACCAATGTGAACCTATGATAATTTATTTAATCTATTATCATTAGAAATTGAAGAGGGTGTTCATTTTTCCTTTTTTAACTGAAAGCACAGCATTAATTACATATTGAGTGAAAATCAGTCATTTTCTTAAGATAATACATAAATATGAAGTGGCTGGAAGAAAAAAATAATTAGACGTATTGATTTCCCTATACCACTAGCCTACCCCAGAAATTTTAATCATCTTACATCCCACAGGCAGCATGTTCATTTTCCAACACTCCAGTCAATAGTGTAGATATGTAAGCATATGTACAATACATGCTACCATGTATTTATTGGTTTTTCAAGTTTTTCGACAAATAACTTGCTCACACAAACATTTATTTATTTAGCTCATAAGAGAAATCAGCAGATTTTTTATGTGCTTCAGATATGCTAATTCATTTTAATTCTTGAAAAAATTCTGTAAATAATAAATTAAGTATTTTCTAGAAGTTTGTGCTAGGATGAACAACAGTTCTCCATTGACATACATCTCCTGACCTCCGGAACCTGTAAGTATTTTCCCTTACATGGGAAAACATACTTTGCTTATGTGATTAAGTTAAGAATCTTGCTTTTGGGATACTATCCTCAATTTTTTGAATAGGTTCTATGTAAGGGTCCTTATAAGAAGAAGGCAGTAGGGTCAGAGGCAGAGACAATATGAAGCTAGAAGCAACATGGACCATGAGTCAAGGAATGCCAACATTTTCTAGAAGGTGGGGAAGGCAAGGAAATGGACTCTCCCTACAGCTCCCAGATGGAACACAGGCTTTCCAACCCCTTTTGGACTTCTGACCTCCAAAATTGTATGATAATAGGCCTGAGTTGTTATGCTACTAATTTTATGGTAATTTGTTACAGGCACACTAGGAAGCTAATGTGGATTTTAGAACCTAGAAATGGGATTGTTCTATAAAACATATCTAGAAATGTGAAAATGCACTGAATTGGGTAAAGGATAAAGCGTGGAACAATCTTGAGGACCATGATTGAAGCTACTTTGTTAGCCTTAAACAGCCTGTTAACAGAAATATGGATGTTAATGACTGTGCTAGTGAGGGTTTGAAACAATGAGGAGCAAAGTAGAGGAAATCTATATTGTCCTAGAGAATAATGAAATCATCACAAAGACAATATTGGTAGAAATACCATTAAAGACACTGTGAGAATTTAGAAGGAAGTGAAGAATATGTTATTGAAAAATAGAGGAAAAGAGATACTTGTTATTTAAATGCAGAAACTTAGTAAAATTATGTCCTACAGCTATGTGGACAGCACAACTGAAAGCAAGGAACTTGAATATTTAGCTGAAGAGACTTCCAAGCAATGTTGAGAGCATTGTCTTTTTTCTATATACTACTTATACTAAAATGGGGTAAATTGAAGGAACAACTTAAGCAAAAAGGAATCATGACCTGATGATTTGGGAAATTAATAGCATAACAACACTGCAAAAGATGCTAAAATTAAGAAATACACTGTCAGGAAAGAAAACCAAGGACCAAGCACAAATTTTGCAAGGAACTTTGAAAGAGCAAAAACTTATGCAGTCATTCAGAGGACTCTTTGAAGATATTAAGCATGTGATTCATGGATCCCCCCAGCCATCTCAATAGAAGACAAAAATGGAGATGAGATTATCTAGGAAAGACCTGTCTAAAAGTGTCTTGTTCACTGACATTGTACATAATATCTCAGCCAACAATCAACAATCAATCAAAAAACTATTATGTTTGGGATAAGTACTTTTTGTTTATTTCTGTTATGCACTTTGGAAAGTAGGGAAGAAATGAATGAGTTTGATGATTCATTTCAGAGAAATTACAAATTATTTGAAGATTTAAACATTTTAAAAATGTAAAATAAAAATAGAGAAAATAAAGAATATTAAATTTTCACTGTGTGGTCTAACATTATAGGAGGAATTGAACAAAAAGGAGAATATGTGGAGGTTTGAGACTTTCAGCAGAGAGATATAATTTAAACTGGTTTTTCAAGGCTGGATGCTATTTTCATGTTGAACAGAGTGGGAGACAAGCAGTGAGTAAAGAAAGAACTTCAGGATAAATATATAGATGGCTTAAATTAGAGGAAGATTTAGTTTTGGGGGAAGATTTAGTTTTGGGGTTGGGAGAGATTATGTTATATGGGTGAAGTGTGGTCAGAATATATTGAAGGTAAACTTTGGGTATTGTTCTTTTATTAGGGAATCACTGAAAGGATGAACTGACTGGAGGCTTGAATCAATCATACTTGTGTTTGTTTTTAGTTAAAAAACTTATCTTTTATATCTCACAACCTACCATATTGAGGAAATAAATACCTGAACTATTAAACTTATAAAAGTAAAAACAAAAGAAGGTAGTCTTTTTTATAAACATAAATACATTTAATTATTTCTTTGTGATACTTATTTATACATGACTACATCTGTATTAGTGCACATAAAACATTAACTGTGTAAAAATTCCAAGTCTATTTATGAAGGAGTGCAAATAATTATGTTGAAGTTCTTATACAGTAAATCAACTATCAAGTCAGTGCGTACCTAGAGGTGAAATGTGTCACAATTACAAGTTTTATTTGCTCTTGTTAGGTTCCAATTAATTCTTTTTCCTATTCTTTCTGTTTTTAATAAATTCTTTCATCAAATTATGTGTTTTTCCTGGAAGACTTATCTTCACCCAATTATTTTATAATTACTCTGACTTAAAAAAAAATAACTACCTTAGATTCATAGACATTTTGAAATATTTGAAACACAACTTGCTAAAAAGAGGCAGATAATAAGATCATTAAGCTTTGTTTCCCATTTGGGATAGACACATTATTATTGCTTTAAAATGTACTAATTAAGCTAGTTTTAGATCCTTAAGGAGTTAGAATCTGAATAATCTGATTTCATGGTCTTTGGTTTTCTGCCTTTTAGCCCACATCTGCATAAAACAGAACAAATCACGTCAAGCACCATCTCCTACTTTTACCTAATG